AAACTCCATGTTGTTTTCATTTTCGCGTTCCGCGTGCGTAACATTTTGGGGGCTCGTTCGGGATCCGATTGTTCGCGATCCGACGGTTCAGGATACGCGATCGAGCCGACGATCGGACGAATTCTAAGGTACAAACGTGGCGGGACGCGAGTAAGTGGTTTAGTGCAATGCTACAGAGAGCTTTCCTGAAAATGTCAATGGCACACTCGTCTGTGAGAACCCGCTCTCAAGCCATGACATCGACTCCGGCGGAGAACGCCTTGGAGGCTGTGCCGTTGCATATTTTCATATTTTTTTTTTTCGTAAGAGTAGAGCCAATAACCGTCTATCTTTTATTCTTCAATGTTTAATTCACTCTCACTTATAGGAACATTTCTCCGCTGTCCATATAGGCTGCGTTCAGAAATTCACTGTCAGTACTGAAATTCTATAATATATGTAACATGAACTATAAATTTTCAGTACTGGCAGTGCATTTCGGAACGCAGTCATAGTAGTATTACATATATGTAATTTCCTCTCTTATCCTTGTCTGATTCATAGCATAGTCGAGAGTGAGAAGAATGTGATACAATCCAAGTTAAAAATTAGAGATAATGGCCCATCTGAATCTCCTTTTATTTATAAAAGTACCTCTAAAAGAAGCTTAGGAGTCTCCTGATTGGCTGAGAAGCTACATTTAAGGCACTTTTATCGATAAAAGCGGATTCAGAATATGGGCTAATATGAAAAGCAGTGATCACTGAATGGCAATGTCTTAAGCTTATGAACGAAAGTTTTAGTTATAAAAAAAATTTTTTTTTCTTATTTATTAGTATTCACTTATCGATTTATTATTTAAAAAGAAAACAAAACAAAAATGGTTCCTAATTCGGAGATTCAGTTTATGTTTAGAAATCAGTCGGCTTAGCTTTTGGTTCAGACTGTACTACAAAGACAGAGCGCTGTTCGAGACCTACAAGCATGCTCTCTCTCATCCCGCAACACTCAAGAGGTAGCGCGCGTTCCAGGGTCCTTATTCTTGAAATAGTTGCGTATACGTAAGTTTTACTGCGCAGCTATTTTACGGCATGATTAAATCTGCGCAATAAAACTTATGTATACGCAACCATTTCAAGAATAAGGGCCCAGGTAGTATATATTTCAGTGTTGTAGAAAGCCCATTATACTTTATACCTTATAACGTCTTATGATCCGATTTTGGACATTGTGCTGTCTGGGTTACTATATCTATTGTAGATCGAGACTAATCCATTTGTGCGAATGTTGCTGTCCTATATGTAAAAGCCATTAATAGAAAAAAATATTGTGACGCCGCCGTTCGCCACCAAATCTGCATACGCCGATTCCGCCGCCATCGATAATGACAATTTTCGACGACGCCGCCGCCGCCGACCAATTTTAGTTCCGACGCCGCCGCCAATATTTAATATAACGGCGCAAAGGTCTACAGAGCAAAGCAAAAGTAGACCATAGAATATAACATTTATAGATGGGAATGTACACTGTTCTCTTGGATTCAGTTCTCACTAGTTCCGAACTCGTTGTCGTAAACACCCTATGTCACGTATACTATAGAGGCTGCGTTCCGAAATAGCGCTAACAGTACTGACAGTGGGTACTTTCCAGTTGCGTACACAACCAGCTTATTGGTTGTATATTATCTTACAAAATATTTTAGATAATATGTAACCAATAAACTGGTTTTGTGTACGTATGTGTTAAAATGAGTTAAGCAATTGGAAAGCACCCAGTATTGATACTAAAACCAGCCATATTTGTCGTTTCAAAATTGTTAAGCAGTAACAGCGTAAGAAAACGGAACGCGTTTTCAGTATTGTGTAGTGGCTCGTAGAGATAACCTAAATAAAATCAATCTTTAAAGGCAAAGAACATTGTTATAATTATAAGTAAGATAACACCAATTGTACTTGACGCACAAAATATAGTTC